GTGTGAGGGAGTTGTAAATGAAAGATAAGAAAAATCTACTGTCGACATCAAAGAACTTGTCGAAAAAGTACTGGACATCGAGCTCAGTCTTTATTATTCAAACAGTAAATCATCGATTTTCCAGCTCCTGTTAGAAGATTTACGAAAACGTCTCGTTTTTCAGAGACGAAGCACCTTAAGGATTCTTTCTGATACGAATTAGGATCGCTTATCTAAATTTCGCAGACATTTCTAAAGGCTTCATCGATATCAAAGTAAGTCAAGGTGAAGRTCAGCTTCCAGCATTTTGGGAGGCGCGCTCTGATYGGTCAATCTAAGGGAAAGGAATGTATGGCTAGTTTGAGCAGACCTTTGTGGGGAGGGAAAGGAACGAGCCGACACTAAAAACGTCTGCACAGCAGGCTACCAAAAAATATGTTTGCATCACAATTGAATTTTTCAAAATAGTCTTTATTTGATATGCACAAAAAGACTAACAATCTTTTTGATAATTTTTTGATGCCATTGGTTCCACGGCACTTGGGAGCCTCATCAACGTTTAGAATACCCCGGGATATCTATTGCTTTGAAAAAGTTGTTTGCTTTAGTGGTCGCTTGCCATCTATGAGCTAAGGTGTTTTCTAACAAGCGAATACTGTTTTACTGTGACAACGAATAGGTTGTTSATATAGCTAATTCAAAACGGTCCCACATCCCTAGAGTCATGGATCTTTTGCGCCACTTGACTCTACTGACACTTCGGTATGACTTTTACATTAAAGTCGAGCATATCGCCGGCAAGAAAAACGAGATAGCTGATTCACTCTCTTGCTTTCGGATGGACCGGTTTCGAGAACTGGCGCCACACGCGGACAAATTTCCTCATCCTATACCACCGCACATTCTGAGGATTTGAGAGCCAGCATTCAGCATTACTTGAGCCTTTCAGTAGCCTTCATTTACCAAACAAACGTATAGTTCTGCGGAAAAGCACATCCTCGAATTTCTTTCCTTATACAGGCCTAC